CGGTACGAGACTCGAACCCGCAACCTTTGGGTTACAAGTCCGACTCTCTAACCATTAGGCCACGACTTCCCCACCTGGTGCATAAACACAGTCCACAGACTTGTTCTCACTGGATTGTATTTAATTAGCTTTTTAGAGACTATTTTCATATGCACCATTTAAAAAAAAACATTTGTCATTAAACTAAAGAATCATTCAAAACTTTGAGGTCCGATTGATTTTTTGCTTTGTTTTTTAAAGTCTCTTATGCTTACTTAGAGTAACGCTGCGTGTTTCTAAGCATTTCAGGAGACCTTTAAGTTTAGGTATGGGGGTAGGATTAAGGAATCTAAAATATGGTCATACGGTATAAGGCATTAATATGTGCTTTATAAGTAAGCTGCATTTATTTAATCAAAAATACAGTAAAAACAGTAATATTGGGAAATGTTATTACAATGTAAAATAACTATTTTCTATTAGAATATTGAAGTGTACAAATGTAATGCATTCCTTTGATGCAAAGCTGAATTTTCAGCATCATTACTGCAGTCTTCATCATGCAGAATCAAGGCATTAATATGTGCTTTATAAGTACTAATAAACAGCCGATATGCTAGTAATATGCATGCTAATAAGCAACCAGTCAATAGTGAGAATAGTGATCCCTAAAATAAAGTGTTACCTAAAGGTTTTTCTCTCTCGTTACAGCAACTTGTGTTCAACTCAGTTACAAATTGTCTGGGCCCTCGGAAGTTCCTGCACAGTGGAAAATGAGGTCCGATTGATTTTTTGCTTTGTTTTTTAAAGTCTCTTATGCTTACTAAAGCTGCATTTATTTAATCAAAAATACAGTAAAAACAGTAATATTGGGAAATGTTATTACAATGTAAAATAACTATTTTCTATTAGAATATTGAAGTGTACAAATGTAATGCATTCCTTTGATGCAAAGCTGAATTTTCAGCATCATTACTGCAGTCTTCAGTGTCACATGATCCTTCAGAAATCATCACTGTTGAAAACAGTTGTGCCGAATTATAGTTTTGTGGAAGCATTTTTAAGAATTATTTGATGAATAGAATGTTTAAAAGAACAGCATTTATTTTGAATAGAAATCTTTTGTAACATTACATCTTTTGTCACTTCTGAACAATTGAATGTATCTTAGAATAAAACTTCATTTCTTTAAAAAAAAAAAAAAAACTTACTGACCCTCAAACTTTTGAACAGTACTGTGTATTTGTCGAGTTGTTATGATGATAATATAGATTAAATCTCTGTAATAAAGGTTGGTCTGTAATGAGTTTTCCCTCAATAAACTCCTAATTTGCTGCTTGTTAATATTTATTAAGGTAGTTGTTCCAAAAGCAACAAGGAGCTTTACGGCTTCCTGTTTAACGATTTCCTGCTCCTCACACAGATCATCAAACCTCTGGGCTCGTCTGGAACGGAAAAAGTCTTCAGTGCGAAATCCCACCTGCAGTATCGCATGTACAAAACGGTGAGACATTCTCAGAAATCTTATTTATTTGCAATCAGTTTTTGACCTTTAATATAATACTTATTCCTTGACCTTTAACCTGACTCGTTGACCTCTGTAGCCCATCTTTCTCAACGAGGTGCTGGTGAAGCTGCCCACTGATCCTTCTGGAGATGAACCCATATTCCACATATCTCACATCGACAGAGTCTACACTATTCGGGCTGAGAGCATCAACGAGCGGTATTCACTAATTACTTGTGTATTATTTAGATCTATACCTATTAACCTGCAATACACATGCTCAGATATAATTCTCTTGACGATTGTCTTAATAATCTTGACAATGTTCTTCTGTTCCACCCTGTAATCCTGCAGGACAGCTTGGGTGCAGAAGATCAAAGCCGCTTCTGAGCTCTTCATTGAAACGGAGAAGAAGAAGAGAGAGAAAGCCTACTTAGGTTTGTCTCATGTCTTTCCTTACAAACCCCTCGCTGATTTAATAAAGCTATGAATGCTCTGAGTGTTTGCTAAGCACTGGTTTTGTGTTTCTGTTATGTTTGCAGTGAGGTCTCAGAGGGCCACTGGTATCGGGCGGCTAATGGTGAACATTGTTGAAGGCATTGAGCTAAAGCCCTGCCGTTCAAATGGTAAAGAATGAATACTGCTTAATAAAATTTAAGGTGCTTTACGAGGTTATAAGCATTTTAGTACTATTGATCATATCATAAACGTCCATTGTGTGTGTGTTTGTGTCTGCAGGGAAGAGTAATCCGTACTGTGAGGTGACGATGGGCTCTCAGTGTCACGTCACTAAGACGCTGCAGGACACTCTGAACCCTAAATGGAACTCAAACTGCCAGTTCTTCATCAAAGACCTGGAGCAGGATGTGCTGTGTGTCACTGTGTTTGAGAGGGATCAGTTCTCCCCGGATGGTCAGTATACTCATTCACTTACTCTCTTACTCGTGTACTGTATGTTTCGTCTCACATACAATCAAACATATCAGAATGTATATTTGCTGCTGTGTGGAATCAGTAAGATTTTTAACATTTAAAAAAAAAAAATCTCATGTGTTCAACAAGGCTGCTTTGCATTTATTTGATAAAAAAATTATGAAAATAGTGATTTTAATATACTTTAAAATATGATTTATTTCTGTGGTGGCAAAGCTGATTTTTCAGCATCATTACTCCAGTCTTCAGTG